GTTGAAGTTCAAGGTTATTGATTTTTCTTATGAAGTGAGTTGAGTCCTGGATGTAATGGGGGGTTTGTCCTATATGGGTTTGAAATTGTGTGGCCAGAAACTTGGCCAAATCGTATGTGGGAGATCCAATGACACTCACTATGGGTCGGAGTGGAATGGAATCCTTGTGAATCTTGGGAAGTCCATATAGTCTTGGCGGGAGAGCCTCAGATTTGCACAAACTTTGTCTTGTGGTTGGCTGAATTGAGGAGTTTTTGATCAGGGTGTTGGTTTTCCTGGTGATTTTGTTGGTTGGGTCTTGTTTCAGTTTTTTGTATATTGTAGGATCCAGGAGTTCCCTGATTTTTTGTTTATATTGTTCTGTTTCCATGATTACTGTGGCATTGCCTTTGTCTGCTGGGAGAATGATGATTTCTGGGTCTGAATTGAGGTCTAAATTGTTTTTATCAACCTCTATAATTTTCTCAAGTCTAAACATACTCACTGGAAAAGAAGAAAGTGCCTAGCTGTTTAGCTGTTTGTTAGAAAAATAACTTGGTAACTTGGTAAGATATTGGGCTGAATTTTTGTATACAGTGGGCCATTTGTATATGTGGGGGATCTGTTCTGGACCTTCCCCCCCCCCCCTGCATATGGAAAAAAACATGGAACCTCAAATCCCGTTGGTTTTAATGGTGGCACGCTCCTTTGTGTAGTGCTGTGTATGCACCACAGGTGCACACACCACTTTGTCCCCTCAGGCGTGCTGTCCATGTGACCTCAAGTCTGCATGTAGCAAGCCTGCGTATGGCAGGTGTACTGTATTTGTACACAACTTTCCTGTCAATCCTACATACCTAGTTTATCTTCTAAACTAATCTTCAGGTGGATTAGTTATCTCTTCAGGTTTTTCTTCAGTGCTTTCCAGGTTCCTCTCAACACTGCTTTAAAAAATTGCAGGCTCAAATGAAATGTGATTGTATAAATGTTGTTAACATACATGCTTGAATATGTCAGTAAAACATGTTTTTAAAAATGTCAGTAACAACTGTAGGGAAGTCTGACCATCATTAGACCTATAGGTAGTGGGGAAGAAGAATGTAATCCTTTTCCTTGTGAAAAAGTCCTAATGAATACAGCCCTAATGAAGCTTTTATTTATTTTGGGAAAGGAGTCCTCACTGGCAAGTGGAGAGAGAAAAGTCCCCACTGACTCCCTCCTTCACTGCATGTGGTCCCAGAGCTGTTGAGACTCCTTCACAGTTTATTTACATTTTTAAACACTTGCATGTCAATTGGATGCATATATTTCACACTGCTTAAAGTGCATGCCTTAATTGTTAACCTGAGAATTATATTTGATACTATTGCCAAGACATGACATCAGTCAGAATATCCAGCTCTGTATGGAAGGAAGTCTGTTCTTCAGTCAGTCCTTATGGCTCCAGCATCAAGAAGGAGCCTTCCCTCTTCTGGGAGGATGGTTGGAGAAGTTAGTTTTCCTATTGTGATGTGTCCTGACTGACACTGTGTGTTGACCACAACAGCTCAATAGTTTGCTAGAAGCAATCAAGCATCACAGCTTCCAGTCTTGTCAGATGGAGATGGAAGCAAAAAGAATTCATTGACAAATGGTTCTTTCTGGAAGTATCCTATCCTTCAGGATTTTTCACTTACTGTGTTGTTATCTTGAACAAGAGCTAGCAGAATATATTGTTGGTGAATGTGAACTGTGACTGAAAAGCCTCTGGCTAAAGTTTCACTGTACGCATTGTTAGGATATAGATGGGATATAGAGTCAATGTTAAAATGTTGAAATGTAAAAGATGTGTGTCTGTATTTTTCCATGCTGTAAAAAGTTGTTTTTCTGAGAGCTAGATTCATAGTTATCAGCCCAGGTGTGATTTAGCCAAAACAGGAGGCTAACAGGACTCCATTCTGTGGGAAAGAGGTATTGTTTATATTATGGTTTTTTGTAAACATCGTTAGCTTGGGAAAGTTACTCACGTGGTGGATGATGGACAGCAAGAGGCTGGGTTAACATACATCATATAGACATTATCCAATTAATATAAAGTTAACACCTAGAAGGTGGAATATGGGATGGGCCTAGAAAATCCTTTGTCTATAATTGTTTATTGTTCAAGATGTGAGCGTGTGAGCATGTGTGGCTGGAAACTGTTTTAACTACAATAAGTTGGATCCTAATGCTTTTGGGATTGTTAAAGATATAATCTTACATGGCTGAACTGGACAAGTTCATCACAATGGATTTTACTTAGTTATCTTATTTTTTACTTTTTATATACATTAATAAAGCTATGCTTTTAGACTTTACAATGTGTCTTCTTGACTGAGGAAGACAGGATTGCCTGGAGAAGGAAAGCTGAACCAGTTGATGGCAAGTTTACAAAGTGGCTGTGGATCACAGCAGCCAGCTTGTCCTGCAGACTCTGCTGGGTGCCAAAAGACATCACTACAACACTCATCATCCACACACCAACACGCATGAGCTTATTAAGTGGCCTTGGGCAACCAAGTACTTGCTTATCCTTTCTTAACTTCAAGAACTTCCACATTTATTTTGAACTTAAGGTGCACAAGCTGCTTGTATCATCGGTCTGTTTTCTCTATTGATGAAAATGGAACCTCACATTGCTTTTGTTCAGGAAAGCACCCATGGGTTTCTGAGTCATATTGCACCTGTGTTGTGCAATGCACCAAAAGTTAATCATGTGAAGGCCCACTGATAGGTCCCTTTGAGAGTATAAAGCTGGGCTAGGACTATTGTATAAGGTCTTACTTAAAAATTAAATTGTACATAATAGATGAGAATGTTCAAAGTGTATGATAAATTTTGATTGATTAGTATAGTAGATTACTGAGATGAGAACAAACCACATAATTTACTTTGCGTGTAACAGATCCGTGGTACTATCTGGAAAGTTTTTGTCTATGAAAAAAGTTGTATTAAATATATACTACACACACACTATGAACATTTAATTACTTGCTTTAGTCTTTTACCTCCAAAGGTTATATCATCATATTCCCTTATGTTGATGCTTTTTAGTATTTTGTTTCCAAAACCTCACATTGTTCTTCATAGTTCTTTTTGGAAAACAAAAACAACAGTATACTGAAGAGCTATGTTATGTTTTAATGTTCAGGGGGAAAAAAACACTATTGAGTTGACCTGTTAGGCTTTCCGAACTATTTTCCTGCATGATAACTGCTCACAGCTGCAGAAATAGGATCATGGCAGACTTGTGGCAAAGGCCTGCAATGTTGACTGTCATCTAATGACTTACTGTACCGAGTATAAATTGCTGCTCAAACAGCATCCTTCCAGGTTTTACTCCCAAGAGAGCATGTGCTTTAAAGACTGACCTTCTTCTGCCCCAGCACGTCAACCTGGAAAGTTTCTTCTTGCAACTGAATTTCTGTCAAGCAGTGGACTCTGTTTAAAACTTGCTGAAGATATAAAATGAGAAATTATGTGTGTGCAGGGGGGAGACGGGTTAGAATATGTGTAAATGTTGTGCTCTCTTTATTGTATAGCTTTTGGAGCCAAACAGACATTGTTTCTTAAATGTTCATATAAAACCACTTTGTGGAAGACACAACTTATGTATCCAATCATATTACTCATGAAGACTGAATAGTATAAACTTTATCTCTCTTACTTTCTCAGTAAATAATACAAAATTATTCATATGTCGAAATATCTTGCATTGCAACTAGTGATCATAATTAAGAGATTAATACCATGATATTTATATATACCTTGATAATTATAGAATTATTTAGTCAGTTCAGTTAAAAAATTAGGATAGGTGTCAACAACATTAAGTATTATATATAGAAGTTAAAATTACCCTGTATCAGTTGTATCAACCACCACCACCAACCATCTTACACAGATACATTAATCTGTTGTATCTTACAAAAACTCTGTAAGGTTGGCCAGTATTATTAGGCTGATAACTCAAGCTACGTTGAGCCCCAATTTTGAGGAAAGGGAGAGGGTATGAGTAAAATGAATACTAACAAATAATAAGATTCTAGGGCACGTCTACATGGACCAAATGAGTGGAATTCTCTCCCCCCCCCCCCGCATCCTCCTGGTGCCCTGTTTTCATAATGCAGGGCCAAAGCCCCAATTCGACTGAGGACTGTCTTCACAATATGAGGTCAGTTCCATATCAAATCTGGCCCACCACTACCTTAAACTGGGTTAAAGACTTACCTTTATAAATCCAGAATGCTGCTGTGAGGCTGTCCCCACATACATCCCCAATGAGCCACCACCACTGGCACAAGTTGCTCCTTCTGAGGTCACAATGAGGTGCCTGGTCATGTGGTTGCCTCAGTTTGGACCTCAGAGGGAACAACTCACACCAGTGACAGTGGTATTGGGTAGCACAAGAGGGTGCATAGGTAGACAGCCATCCAGCATTGCTTTGGAGTGTGGAGAATTTGGAGCAGCCAAGAATATTCTGGCCACTGTAG